CACTCCAGAGTCAACTGAAGGAATCTCTGAAGGGCCTCGAATCACTTCAGAATAAAAATGAAGAACTCCTTAAAATAATAGAAAGCCAGAAAGAAGAAAACAAGCAGTTTGCAAAAGTTATTCAAGAGAAAGACAAAGAATTACTTGAAAATAAGCAGCAGTTTGATATTCAAGCTACAAAGCTCAAAATTGGTATGTTTGGAACTCAGTTGTAACACAGTGCTTTTAAATGAAACACCCCCCCCCACCCCCCCCACCCCCAATGATTAAACAAAACTCTACTTGCAATTTTAGAAGTGGATGAGGCATTGGGAAATGTGAAGAACTTCCAGTTTAAATTGGAAGCCTCAGAGAAAGAAAATCAGATCCTGGGTATAACGTTACGTCAGCGGGATGCAGAAGTGAACAGACTGCGTGAACTGACCAGGTAATTTGGCTACAGTTTGTCCCTTTTGCCATTTCTTCCTTATTTAAGGTTATTGGAAAGTAATCCTACAGGCTTCCCTACTTTGGAGTTGTATCCTATTAATAGGCTTTTAAGTTATTTTGTAAATGTATTTTTATGTGTTAGGATAGTAGTTGGAAAACCCTGTCAAGGACAGGGCCCCACTGACACTGTCTACCCAATAGAGTTCTCTGAGTCAGGAACTTATAGGGATCAAAGTATGCAACCAGTGAATGGGATGAGTTGCACTGGAGGGGTTGTACCTGCGTGAAGATACCAAAAAAACTGACAAGGTTTATGATGTGCTCCACTTGTACACTGATGTGGGGTGTGTGTATAATTCACTTAACTGCAGAATAAAATGGTAGTCCCAGGTTGTTGCCTATTACTCATGTTGCAACACACTCAGGTTATCTGAGTATCTGTTAAATGCACAAACTACTTAAGTGCATAGCAGTTTTGAGCCCCCCTGTCTACTTTGTAACTTAATTGTACTCTGGCTAACTGCAGCATAACAGACCTATCAACTTAGTATCTTGTTGTAGGCCATCTTATTGTCTCAGAAACCATGGAGAGGAAGTGCCTTTTAAAGGGCCACTGTTAGAAGCCTGGAAAATGAAACCTGACATAAAATCGTAGGAAACATCAGAAAGAACTTCACAGTTAGGGTGGTCAGCATCTGGAACAGGCTTCCCAGGAGGTGGTGCTCTCCCCTACCCTGGGGGTCTTCAAGAGGAGACTAGACAGGCACCTGGCTGCGGTCACATGACCCCAGCACTTTTTCCTGCCTGGGCAGGGGGTCGGACTCAATGATCCTTCGAGGTCCCTTCCAACCCTAGCATCTATGAATTTATGAAAGTAGGGCTAGAAGGGACCTCACGAGTCCAGCTCAAGGCAGGATCATCCCTGACTCAACGAAACTAAGTGACATGAAACCGACTAACTCCTGTCTACTAATTTTCCAGGTTTCTTGCAGTGATTACTGTTGAAGCTGCTGAAAGCCTTGAAAACTAGGCATTTGGGCATTTGCTACATTATGTGCTGTCAGTGCCATGGTATTAGCAGCTCTCTTCATTTTCAAGGTTTCTAAAAGCAGTTACTATAAGACACCATCAAAATGAAGGGAGCTACTCAGGTTTGGGGTTGCTCATACCACACAACTGACAGTCCTGTGCTCAGTGCTGTGTCCTTAGTGAGCACAGGTTGCTTTACATTAAGTGCACACTCCAGTGCACTAAGTGTGTAGCCTTTTTTTCAATCTAAGGGTATGTAGCTAAATGAAGTAACGGTAGTAGAAAAGCAGAAAAGCTTACCAGATTCTGGCCACTGTAACTGTGAAGAAGTTCTTTCTAATGTTTCCTATGATTTTGTCAGCTTTCATTTTCCAAACTTCTAACAGGGGCCCTTTAAAAGGCACTTCCTCTCCACGGTTTCTGAGACAATAAGATGGAGTATGACAAGAAAAGCTGTCTAACCGCTTGTCTAACCAGTGCAAGGCAGGATTGGCTTCTAGCTACCATGGCAGATCTAGGTTGATAGGACACCTGCTATATGCATGGCAGACCCCAAGGACACAGCACCAGGGGAGGCCATGGTCCTGACCAGCTGGAGTTAATTCCTTGAAATCTGCAAGGTTTAGGAACTAGTTCTGCAGCTTGTTCAACAAGAAAAGTCTCTCCTTTCTCTTGTGAAAAGGGAGAAAGTAGAAAAAAATGTCCTTAAAAAGATCCTGGCAGAGACTTCCTCCCTCCAGGAAGTGAATTAGAATGAGTGCTTACCCAATCCCATCAGTTGGGGGAATGACTAAAATATAATCAATGACTTTGTGGACAATGCTTTTTAGTTACGTTCACTGGAGTGTTGATTCTGGTTGTCCAAAATTCGGAGTATTTGCTCTATATAGCATATGTCAACCTTTACTGATAATTGTGTCAGACTTTTGTGAGAAGTAAGATTTGTGAGGTGAAGTAATATCTTTTTATTGGACCAACTTGCATAGTCAGGAGAGATAAGGGACAGATTTTTTGGCTTCAAAAGAAACAGTCACTGTCCAAGCTGTGTCTAAATCAGGGGTTCCCAACGTTTGTGCCCAAGGGCTCATTGGAATTTAAAAGCGGGCACCAATATGAATTCAGCCGGTCGGTCTCTCGGGGCCGACTCAAGGTAACTTCTGGATATACACATGTGCATAGTTTCGCTTGGAGAGTGAGTAGTAAGCACCACTCGCTCCATCACCGCGACAGTCAGACTGACTCAGTCTCAGTTTGGCGGCCGTTGTGCAGAGCCTGTGAAAAAAACTTGAAGTGTTACTGTTCTGAGTTCAGTCAGCAATGACAGCATTTTTGGTTGGAATAATTATTTTTACTGATCGTGAAAATGCGCGCAGGCACCTGAATCGGGGGGGGGGGGGGCCAGTGAGCATTGCATTGGGAACCGCTGGTCTAAATCATAGACTTTTATTATTGAACTTCTAGAGAACGTGCTTTTCTGTGACTATTTACTATTGGCCACCAGGTGGTGATATCGTAATATCTTATTACATGTGAGCATATTGCAAATCTTCCTGTCTCTTGGCTCAGAAGGCAGAAAATGAGGAGTAACAGTGACTAACTTGTGTATGTCTGTATTTAAATATTTTATTTTTTATACAAAGCTAAAGAAGGACTTCTTTCCACTTTTTCCCAGCTCAAAAGCAGATCCCACACCCTAACAAAAAAAACATTGAACATTCACGAGATGCTGTATCTTATGCTTTACAGAAAGGTGACATTCTCTTGCCAGAAAGCTATTTATTTCTGATCCATTCACCCTGGCAAGCAGGAAATTAATCTCAAGACCTGCACTCTTTGTTCTTCTCATTACTCATTTGGTAGACAGGTTTCACTGAACTGAAGACTGGAGTTTAGTGGAGTTTGAATAAGTTAATGCTTGTATCAGTCTTGTGCTATTGTAGATAAAATGTAAATTAGTATTAAATGGTCAGTGCAGTGTTACAATTCTAAACATTTTAGTATAAAATGTTTGTGAAAGTATCCAGTAAGTGCAAATGACCAATTTAATAAATTGCTCTCCACAGAACTTTGCAGGGCAGCATGGCCAAGCTTCTCTCTGACCTCACCGTAGACAATGTAAGACACCGACCGGGTAAAGGTCTTACCAAGTCTCTTCTGGAAAACTATGAGAAACAGATGCAAACTAACCCTTTCCCTGTGAGTACTTCAATAATGAGTTACCTTAAAAACTTAGAAACTGATTGTGTTTGGAAAAATGAGGAACCTCAGTTTTCACATAAAATTGGAGAATTGGAAATGCCACGGCTAGCCCATGAAAAGCTTTCTGCTGATGGATCCCCTAAAAAAACTACAGTCTTTGGAGAGGAAATACCAGCCCCAAGGGTTCTACCTCCCCTGTCAAAAGAAGATGGTGAAACTATTAGTGATTCTGGGACTTTAATAGAGGAAGATCACAAGGTGGATGAAACTATTTATATTCCTTTGACCAGCAGTGCCTCTAAAAAACAGCCATTAGTAACTGAAAAACGAATTTGTACCCAACACCAAGTTAATGCAGCTTCCAAGAAGTTGGACTACAGCTGTGGGCTCTCTGACTTCAAGAAGCAGAACGACTTTGGGATTTTGGATGATGCAAAGATTTTTGATAAGTTCACTGGTGGTTACGATTTGAAAAAGACTACAGAAAATACATCTGAGGCCACGAGGAATACAGCCAGGCTGGAAGGAGATCGGCTCCAACTATGGCCAAAAGACATAATGATTGGAGCTGCCAAAGGGCTTACAGATGAGCCAGACAGACCTCAGTCTGACAAACACCCATACGCTCCTATGCCACACAAGAAAGAAAATTTTCAGAAAACAGGCAGTGAAATATCTGCTGACTCTAGTTTTTCTGTTTTTGATTGTATGGCAGGGAAGTCTGAATGGAGTGCATCTTCCTTCTCAACATTTACTTCACGAGATGAAGAGGACTTCAAAAATGGGTTAGCAGCCCTGGATGCCAACATAGCTAGATTACAAAGGACTTTGCACAACAGTATGCTGAAACAATGACTGTGAGGAAACTAAACGGGCTGTACTGGTCCAGATAATTTTGCTACTTTTTTAATAGTTTAATTAGTACAGTTTTTGGAATGTCTATTTTTTTATTGTGTTTTATATGCAAATGGTTGGTACCTAACAGAGTTTAAATTATGTATGGAACTTAATTAAATAAATTAAGGTGCTATGTTTCTTGTAATCAGTGCAAATAATCTTATTTAATTGGAGGAACTTTACACTTTAATAGTAAAGTGCTATCTTGTCTCATCACTGTATGTGGTCGTTTTAAAGAAACTAACACTGTGTGGTGTTCTGATGTGAACTTTTATATTAAATGATGGATGAACCATTCTCATTTGGCTTCAATGTGCTTTTCAAACTAGGATTAGGAAGAATTGTTTAGTCAGTAGATATCAGCAGAGATGGGCTCTTATACTTCTGGAATTGAGAACAGAATTTGGTCCCAAACCTTTACTATGAGGACAGCATTATGTATGTGACGTGGGAATGCTCCTTTGATGTTTGCAGAAGTCATGGCATGCCTGAATTGCAAGTCATTCATGTCCAGGATCAGTTGGAATAGGTTTTTATGTTGGCTGTTATCATTCAGTTTTGACAGTATCTGGAAGTGTGTGGGCTTTTTTAGTCTGCCTGGTCAAATTCATGGTTTACAGATGTAGGAATAAAGCAGTTGAGGTATACATGAAAGCAAAGGAATTAAAAAGAACGTAGAGACTTGTGTGATAGTTAAACATGCTTGTGTTATACCAGTATAAACAAAGACTTTATCGCTTCACTAGTAATATGATTTGCAATTTACTTACCTACGGTGGCTGACATGCATGGACTTGCTTATTACCCAGAACAGTTAGTCAGTCTGTCTCTCAACATAATTCAGTGCAAACTCAATAATTATAATAGACAAAGCCTGTCAGAGGCTTAGGGATTTTGATTTTTTTTTTTTTATTAGAAGTAATTCTTATTGTTGTAGTATTGAATTTCATGGACAATAGACCAACTCCAATATAAAAAAAGAAAGAAAAACTTAATGAGCAATGTGGGCAATTCAGTGAAGATGATGGAAGCCATTGTTCATTAAGTAATAAGACATACTAATAAATGGATTGTTTAAAAAAATTAAGATAAAAACTAAAGCTATGCCTTCTAATTCACTCACACTGCATGGCTTCTAGTGCAAATGGAGTGTCTGCTGCTTAAAAAAAAAAAAAAAAATACTGAGTTTGAAGGCTTCATGGAGCAGACTTGAAGTGAAAGCTGTAAAGCCTAGGGTTGCCTACTCTCACTCAAGCTATTTTGGGAGATTTTTTTTCCCCTAACATGATGTAATGTCATTAATTGTACTGTTCAACCCATTCACAATATCCATCTCCCAGATCGCTTTCAATAGTCACTGGGAGATCATTGCGGATTCTGGTAGACTCCCTGCCAATCCAGGAGGGTTGGCAAGGCTAGTAAAGCCCTGTGTACCCAAATTATGGTCTTGGGTAACTTCAACATCATGCTAGGGCTAGCTCTTCAGTGCTGGAGCAGGACTTCATGCCCTCCATGTGTACCATGCAGCTATCCCAGGTACTAACTGGGCCAACACACAAGATGAGGCCCACATTGGACCTAATGTTTTGTACCTACCAGGAAACAAAGACTCCATTTATCAGGGGGTAGACCCCACTTATCTGTCATGGTTGGACTGCTGCCTTCTAGCAGCACAGATCTCTGTTCTAAGACGGTCTGCCCTCAGGGAGCTAGCTAGTAGGATTGCAAAACTCTTTGGGGACCATGCCTAGTGCCCTTGACAGCTACTCTGTTGCTGACCCAATCAATTTGTGGAATAGCGTGCTGGCCTTGGCCACAGCCAGTGGCACACAGGTGTCCATTTCCCCTGTAGTAGCAGCAGCAATAGTAGAGTTTTCCCCTGAACCAGTTAAAACAGGAATGAGTAGGTGAGTGCCTCTCTACCTCTGCCAAAACCAATGAACTGCAGCATAGATTCTTTTTAAAGGACTTAAGGTATGACAATAGCAGCAGTGAAAGACCTTTTTTTTTTCCTCCAGTACCATCGTTTATGCCAAGCGTCATCCAGTGCAACTGTTCCAGGTGGTTAGTTTTGGTTAATCTGGTTTATTTTGGCTGTTTCTACTCAGAATCTCAGTCTTCTGCAGTCTACAGCGATATGTTTGCTGCTTATTTTGCAGACAAAATTGCCTGTATTTGGCCTAGCTGGGGTCCACAATATGTGCTGCAGAGTCAAAGTTTGGGGTTGGGAAGGTTCCGTCTTGTCCAGTTTATGTGGATGAGCTCTAGTTGCTGTTGCCCAGCGACACAGAGACTATGCTTGGTGAGATGTGGACAGCCAGCTGTGGACTTGATCCGTGTCCTTGTAAAAGCCAGTCAAGGGTGGCCAGGACTGTTGCTGGCCAGGGTCATCAGTGCTTCCCTTTGGGAGAGAAAGATGCCAAATCATCTTTTGCTTGCAACTGTACAACTTCCTGCTTGAGAAACCAGCACTTAATGCTGACTCCTCAGCAAGCTATCACCCTTCCCATTTTGGGGAAGGCCAGGTGGTTATCTGACAACTCTTAAGTACTTCTGGATGCAGTTGGATTCCTGTTATTAGTCTAGCATTTGCTTTGGATAGCACTGAGATTGCATTTGTGGCCTTGGTCTGTGATCTTCACCTGAAGATGCCGCTGACCATCCCGTGGTGATAAAGCATTTATATGTCCAGGTGGGTACTTCTGGGACTGTTCTTAATAGATCCTACTTTTTCGTAGCACGGAGGTGTCAGGATGGTAGCAGGTAAGAGTTCATCATCCCTGTTGGAGCTTCCTGGTAGGATCCCCTAGGACTCCATCTTCTCACCCCTCCTGTACAAAATGTTCAGAAAGCTGCTAGGCAAGATCATGCAGAGACTTGGAGTGAGGTGCCTTCAGTATGTCACCCAGGTCTTTCCTTTCTTAGAGGATCAGGTCTCCATATTCTCTCTTTTCCCACCACCTGGCTTCAGTGGAGGATTGGAGTTGATGTTGAATCCGGATAGTATAGAAGTGATGGTGATGGGGAGTCCACGTGACCTGGGGGGCTTAAGATACCCATCAGCAATGGAGCGCAGCCTTCCCTGGCCACTCACATTTGCAGCCTTGAGAGTTCCCGGATCCTCTGCTGCACTTGAATCTCGAGGTGACAGTGGCAGCTAGGAGCACCTTTCACCAACTCCATCTGGGGAAAAGGCTGCAGTCTTCTTTTTCAGATTCAGATATGGCCACTGTCATCCATGCCTTTGTAAGCTCAGGGCTAGATGACCGCAAGATGCTTAATGTGAACCCACTCCTGATAACCGTCTTGACTACCACTAGTGCAGAATGGGGCGGAACATCATCGACCAGGAGCCTGTAACTCCGGTGCTTCAGAGTCTGCACTGGTGCTCAATAGCCTTCCAGGCTCAACTGAAGGTGCTGGCTTTTCCCTCAGGGGCCCTAAATAGGTAAGGGACTTTGATCCACAGAAGTACAAACAGCTTTGAAAAGATAACATGGCTCTGGTATGAAGTGTCTGCATAGGGGTTTTTTTGCAGGCCCTAGGGGGAAAAAGGATGGGCCCCCATTTTTCTGAGACATGGGTAGGCGTAAATTCCATGACTTCACTGTTGCAGGGTCAGTCTGTTTATTCATGGCAGTACTTGGAAAACAAAAAAGCATTCCCCAGTTCAGAGACCATGCATGTCGTGCTACATGGCTTTCTTAGTTTTCATTATTCATATTTACAGGTGATTATGCCATTTAATGCCTCAGATAACATTTACTGTAGGAGAGGCCAACTGGCTCTCCTGCTCAGCACAATAAAAGAGAAGTCTAAATAGTGATGTCAGTCATTCAGAATGCTTTTAAGGCTTGGCCCAAGGTTCCTGGCATGGCACAACACTGTTTGTATTCGGATTTCAAGTGTAAGGTGGACAGTACTAGTACAAAATGAGAAATTTGTTTACAAGCAATTTAACTGTTGTCTGCATGAGCAAGAGTTAGTGTGGGGCTATCAACAGACATGAGCACCAGCTGACCTCCCCCTGAACTTAGTTCCAAGTAAATTTGCTAGCAGAGGATAGATCAGAGGTGGGTACAATATGGCCTGGGGGCCAAATATGGCCTGCGGTGGTTCCTTCAGGCCCCTGCCCCAGGCACAGTCCAGCTGTGGCGCATCGGGCAGGGCTGAGGTGGCTGTAACTGGAATTGCTTTTCTAGGCAGCCCAGGTGGCAGGCAGCTGCTGCTGCCACCATCAGCCCCAGCCCCATGGTACCGGCAAGGCCTAGTGCTGCACAGCCCCAACCCCCATGTGCCCCATACCTGCTCTGGGCTCACCTGCCCAGGCTCAGCAGCAGCAGCACCAGACATATGCTGTTGCTCAGTGCAGGGTAAGAGCAGCTCCTCCCTCTGGCAGCGGTTTGCCTCTACAGCCACCCAGAGCCAGCGCACAGCTGTCCTGCATCTCCTCTACGGTGCCACCGCTGCCCCATGCGGCAGGCCAGAGGTGGCCGTGACAGCAGTGGACAGGCAGGGCAGTCCTGCTCAGGCTCCAGGTGGGTACAGCAGGAAACTGCCAGCAAGGGGCAGTCCCCCTCCCCACCCCACCCTGTGCTGCACAGCCCTGACCCTGCACACTCCACAAGTCCTCCAGGGTCACCAGGCCAGGATCAGCAGCGGCACAGGACAAAAGCTCTTGGTCAGCGCTGAGTAAAAGTAGCAGCAGGCAGCTGTTCCCTGTAGGAGGGGGAGGGGCTGCTTTTACCCCATGCTGAGCAGCAGCTTTTTCCCCCCCCACCACACTGATGCTGGACTTGGGTGGGCAAGACTGGAACAGGTGCACGGGGCTGTATGATAGAGCTGGGGTCAGTGGCAGCAGCTGCCAGAAGGAGCTGCACCCCCTGCGCTGCCTAGAAAGGCAGTCCTGCTGCAAAGCCACTGCACTGTGTACCCAAGGGATGGCAGGATGTGGTGTGGGGAAGTGGTGCTGGGTCAGGGCTGTGCTCAGGTTCCAGCTGAGGAGGCTCTGGACTGTTGCAAAGTGGGACCTGACTGCTTGGGGGGGCACCCAGACATACCCTACTCTACCCACCAAACACCCCTCCAACTCCACACCCACCCCCATGCCTCCGGAGTATCCCCACTCACTGCTACGTGCACACCACCTCTATATACACCCACCCACCCACTACCCTCCTCCTCCTCCACACCCCCCACAAACCCCATACCCACAAGCACTCCCCTGCCTCCCAAAAGTCCCCCATACCCACCCCTCCACATCCTCTCACAAATATACAAGAGTAAGA